GCCCAAGGTCACACAGGTAGAGGGTGGCAGAGACAGTGATCAAGTACAGATCTGCCAACTCCAGGTCCAGTGCTCTTCAACTGAGCCAGGACTGCTATGCAGTGAGTCACTGGAGGCTGCTTAACGAACTGCATTCCTGAGACTTGTCTGGTTCTGGCTCAGCACCCTTGGGTTGAGAGCAGGATTGCTCTGGTCAAGTGGCAGGATTAGAGGAAAAAGGACTATAGTAGTATGATCCTAAACAGTATGTATGTGAATATACATATTCACACACACACACTACATATATATACATGTATGTATATATGTATGTATATATTCACACACATATATGTATATATTCACATATACACACCTACCAAAACCCATTGCGTCGAGTCGGTTCCACTCAGAGTGACCCTACAGGACAAAGTAGAACTGCCCCATAGGGTTTCCAAGGCTGTAATCTTTACTGGAGCAGATTATCACATCTTTCTCCTGCAGAGTGGCTGACCTATCAGCAGCCGAGTGCTTTAACCATTGCACCACCAGGCTCCCCTACACACTCACATACACATGACTATATCACATATCACTAGTTTTTGTACTATAGGGTTAAATTTAAGATTGACTAAAACTACTAAAATGGTAATCTGCTAAATGTTTAAATTGTCAGGTTCTGTGATGTATGTTCCTCCATTTCCAACCTACTACCTTTTCCGTGTTTCACTTTTGTAAAACAACAAAAAAAAAATTAATCGTATTTTCCAAGGAAATAGATTTTACTTTGTTCTTTTCAAAACACAGATGATCGAGGAGGTAGAAGGAATCTAAAGGTGAGAGAACAAAAGTGACTTTACCAACAGGCCCAGGACTCAGATGGGAGGGGCCCCTGATCAGACTCTGCCACTGCTGCCCATTTCTCATGATGAGGTTGGGAGGTCCCCAGGCTGTTGGTGCCTCCAGATGGGCACACCTCAGTTCTCCAGTCTTACTGCTGGCAAGATCCTGGCAGTGACCCAAGTTAGGCTTTGCTTGATAGGTCTAAGGGATTGTCCCAATACAAAGGTCTTTGAAGCCAGCCTACATCTACTGAACAGCTAAGAACACAGGCAGCCAAGAAATGACCAAGGTTCTTAGGCTCCAAACAGCACTGAGTTTCAGTTTACAGTGATGGAAAAATCACACTGATTAAAGGTAGGGAGGGTTTCATAGCCGACTAATGTAACTGCTCTCAATAAGCTGTACACCTGTAAAAAGTTGAATTGGCAAAGATTGTGTGATAGACATATTTACAACAACAACAAAAATAAGTGCTCCAAACTCCCAGGGTCACTGCTGCAGAAATTATGATGCTTCCAATCCAACCTTCTTCTCCCGCTTCCTCCACTGAAAGAGATTGGAGACCAAACCAAACAACCCATTGCTGTCGAGTTGATTCTGACTCATAGTGACCCTACAGGACAGAGTAGAACTGCCCCATAGAGTTTCCAAGGCTGTAATCTTTATGAAAGTAAACTGCCACATCTTTTGCCCACGGAGCAGCTGCTGGGTTTGAACCACCGACCTTTTGGTTAGCAGCCGAATTGGTTAACCACTATGCTGCTAGAGCTTCTCTTGGCCTGATACTAACCTAAATTTGAGATTCAGATCTTGAGGGACTATTGTGTCCTGAAAAGGACAAAAAAAAAAAAAAAAAGAATGTAGCTTTGGAGTAAAAAAGTTCTGGGTTCAAATCTTAGCTGTGGGATTAGTTGTGGGACTGTAGCCAAGGTTCTTTATTTCTAGAGTCTTGGAGTTACAGATTTGTAGAGTGAGAATAATACTGACCTTGGAGGATTGTTGTGAAGATTATACTGAATGTATAAAGCACCTGGCATATCGAAAAGACTTGATAAATGTTAGCTTCCCACCTGCTTCTCCCAGTACACACCCTGGTCATTGAGTCCTTTATTAGCAAATAAAAACGTCAGCTCTTAAATTAGCCAGGCAGAGGAGGCTCTAGACTTTAGTGAAGTACAATCTAAACCAACTAGGTTACACTGCTATGGAAGCACACAAGATGCAAAGTTACATCAACACTGTGTAAGTAATTCTTACACAATATTTGACACTGATCAGATCTATACCAGAGATTTGTATTTGATAGGATAAGCATCACAGTTTGAGACAGGAGAAATGACAGGGCTCGAGGAAGAATTGCAAAGCTAGTAGATAGTTATAAATTAGAATCTATGAGAGAAGTGTAAAGAAAATTTTTTTTCCCTTGGAGAAAAGAAAATTGAAAGTGAATTTAACAACTCTTCAAGACCATGAAACCTGTAAAACCTATCACCATCAAGTCGATTCCGACTCAAAGCGACCCTGTAGGACAGAGTAGAACTGCCCCATAGGGTTTCCCAGGAGCAGCTGGTGGATTTGAACTGCCAACCTTTTGGTTAGCAGCCAAACGTTTAACCACTGTGCCACCAGGGCCTCTCAAGACCATGAAGCAGTGTAATAAGGAGGCTAATGGCTCTCATCACCAAGTCCAGAAAAAGAGGAAGAGGAGCTGAATTTGCATTAAAGAGGAAGGGAGAAAGAAAGATCAGACATAAGAAAAAACTTCTCAAGAAAAATAAAGCACTGGGATGGGTGACCAAGGAAGCCTATGGAACTTTCTTTTTTGGAGTTCTGTAAAAACAGAGGACCCTTGTTTGTCTGGATTGAGAAAGGTACTGCCCTGACTGAGTAGCCTGCCCCAGGCATCTGAGGAGGGTGGGGGGAGAAAATATTGCGGGGATAGGCCTTGAACCCTGGAAAACAGAAGTTAAAGCAACTCACAAGCTTTCAAGAAAAAGAAGCAATATTAGAGTGAACTATAGCTAGGAATCTGAATGCTAATGTAAGGAAGAACATTGGGAGGTGGTGGCGAATGCAGGCAAAGGAGAGGAAGGAAACAATCTTTGAATCCATTTTGTTTCCAAGTTACAGACTCCACTGCAATCCTGGTGGAGCCATCCTATAAAATTACCTTGGCTGTTCTCATTCACTTCTGTGGGTCTTAGTTTCCTTTTCTGTAATACGAAGTGCTTGGATAAGACATTCTCTTGAGTACCTTCCAGTTTTGAATTTGAGTTCACAACACTGATCCAGAGAGAGTGTAAGTAAATCTGTTAAAAGCCTACTCAGCCCAAAGCCCAGGTTGTGCAGGGTGGGTGACTCCTGCACAGAGGTGCCAGTGCATCAGCACAGGGGAAGGCAGCACAGGGGAAGTTAGCTAGACCTGGGGTTGAATCCCTCCTCCTCCACTGGGAGTAAATTGCTTATCTTCTCTGAACTTGCATGTCCTCATTTGTAAAATGGCACCAATAATAGAACCTACTTTATAGCTATTGTGAGTTTAAATGAGATAATGCAAGTACAATACATGGTATAATAATATTTAATAGCTTCCGTGTATCAGGCACATAGTAAGCACTAATAAAATGGTAACTATTGTATTAATATTACTGGAATAATAAAAAATTTTAAAGCCTCACCTTTTTATTTCTATCTTTAGTGAATTTGTAGAATATATTACAACCAATCATAATTTGTTGTTGTTTAAACAAACAAACCCCACACTTGTCTTTTCTTGTTCTGGCAGAATCAATCCCAATTCATCCAGCTTTCCTCCAGTAGTCATATTAAAATACACACAAAGTCCATGGTCATTTCTCTATCTGCCCCTGCATATTCTCTGTCCCTTTTAATTTGTAAAGTAGAACAAGTAATGATTTAGCAGTTCCTATATGCCAGCAGCTTTGAATCGTTTTATGCCTCTTCTTAGCAAAGCCAGTGCTACTGAGATCTTTGCTGCCCCTCTTTTTACATGGCCCGTCGGGGTTCCGCCAGTATTCTGCTGATGTCACTATTTTAGCGGCTCTTCTCCGCACCCTGGCCTATCTCTTTGCAACTTCATCTTACTTGTTTTAACCATGTTTCCAACTCGAAACCCCCTCTTTGACTCTTCTTCCGTAGGCTAGACGCCCCACCCCCAGCTTCACACCAGCAGCGGGCCATGTAATGCGTACAGGGTGATAGAAAACCCAGCCGCACCAAGCCCAGAGGGCGCGTCGCCTGGGTCAGGGTGGAGCACCAGGTTATGAGCGGCCTCCTGCCTTTGGGTTTGCTTCCCCGCAGGGGACACCGTGGGCGTTTATGCGGTCCGGTCACTGCCCCCCGCCCCTCGTGTCCGGCCGCGCCGTGGGTTGCGGTCTCCGTGGGGGTGGCAGCGCCTGTCCGGGAGGTTTGCGCCTGGCGGGGCACCCCGGAGCCGCGGGGAGCCGGGAGGCGAGGCCAAGGCGGGGTGGGGAGCGACCGGGCGGGGAGGGCAAACCCAGGCAGCGCAGGGGGCTCAGAGGGCAGCGGGCAGGCGTGCGGACGCGCGGCCGAGGAGCGAACCCGGCGAGGGCTGGCTAGTGTCGGGGCCGCCCGCCCGAGGGGGAGGAGGCTGCTCTGCCCTTGCTGCAGGTTCGCTGTGAGCGCACAGGAGGCAGGGACATGGGCAGGGTGCGGTCTGCGCGGGGCCCGAGCCCGGATCTCTTCCATTTCCCCTCTCACTCGGCCCCGGGCCGCGCCGCAGAC